TGTAAAACATGGTCATGTGACCATGGGATTCTGCAAATGGCGATAAATGCAACCTTATGCCTAAAGTTCAGTCATGTGACCAGAGGGGACCCACTCCGTCATTAACTTCAAACCAGGAGTAAAATGCTCCCGGTTCGGACCGGATCGCCTGATCCTGTAGTGATGGCAGCGGGTGGTTCGGAGAACCAGTAGCAAAAATCCCTGCCCCCCCCCCATGCCCAGTTGAGCTGCGCAATCATCAGAGGCTTTTTTAATTATTTTTAAAAGCATTTTTTCTACAACCTCTTCAACCGAAAAAATGCTTTTAAAAGTTAAAAAAAAGCCTCTGATGATCGCGCAGCTCAGTTGGGATCGTCAGAGGCTTTTAAAAGCATTTTTTTTACAACCTCTTCAGCCGAAGAGGTTGTAGAAAAAATGGTTTTAAAAGTAAAAAAAAAAAAAGTTGGCCACGCCCACCGTCACATTACCCCCATACACACACCAAGCCACGCCCACAGAACCGGTAGTAACAAATTTTACATTTCACCACTGCTTCAAACAGCCGCTAAGTGATCAATTGTAAGTTGAAGACAAACCGTAGTTAGCAATGTACAGGTAGTCCTCAACTTACAACAGCTCATTTAGTGACTGTTTGAAGTTGCAACAACACTGAAAAAAGAGACTTATGATCATTTTTCACATTTATGACCTTTGCAGCAGGTGACCAGAATTCAAACTGTGGCAACTGGCTCATATTTATGATGGTTGCAGTGACCCAGGCTCATGTGATCCCCTGTTTGCAATCTTTTTACAAGCTAAGTCAAAAGGGAAGCCAGATTCTCTCTTTTTTTTTTTTAATTTTGATTTATATGCCGCCCTTCTCCGGAGACTCAGGGCGGCTTACAATGTGCTCAGCAATAGCCTTCATCCTTTTGTATATTTATACAAAGTCAGCTTATTGCCCCCACAACTGGGTCCTCATTTCACCTACCTTAGAAAGGATGGAAGGCTGAGTCAACCTTGAGCCTTGGAGAGATTCGAACCTGCAGTAATTGCAGGCAGCTGGTCTTAATAACCAGCTTAATAACAGGGTGCCTTAGACCACTGTACTACCAAGGCTCTTAACAACCATGTTACTAACTTAACAACTGCAGTGATTCACTGTGACAAGAAAAGTTGTAAAACGGGGCAAAGTTCACTTAACAGCTGTTTCGTTTAGCAACAGCAATTTTTGGCTCAATTGTGGTTGTTAAGTCGAGGACTGCCTGTATTATGTTTCTAGCCACATACCGTAATTCTGGTCCACATGCCAAATACTTGCAATTGGGGATCCATCAGTATTTCCCCACTATTATATTATGAAGTCATGAGGAATTTCACCTGGCCTATGGAGACATTATCAAGTATATTTTCCACCAGCCTCCCTCTGGATCTCTGGCCTATCGCTTGGTAGTCTTGAAAAGCTCATTTTGCATTTTTAAAGAAAAATAAAGTATCCCAGTTATGGGCCTTCTGTTATCAACTTGAAAATACAAAGAGAGTATCTTCAAAGAGAGTGAGAGATGAACCTGAGGAACGAGATTCTAGTTAATAGATGAATCTTAACTATATCCTGCAGAGCTCCACATTTCTTTCATAGGGCAAGGAAGAGCAGAATAAATTATACAAAAAAGGCAGACCGAACATATTTGCATAATAAATTCATCACATTCCATATGCTCGTATGGTAGCTGCATGGTATTTTCTTAGCATATGGGTTGGGGTTACCTTGGTGAAGGATTTATTTTTAGCAACTCAACAATTTGATCCCTGAGAACTTTTGCAAAACTCTGGGGAGCCCAAGAAACAAGGCCTACAGGCATTCTCACAGTAGATCCAATTAAATCATTGACTTCAATTGTTACACAACGTTTTCAAAGGAGTGGAAGGGAGGCACATCACACACACACACACACACACACACACACACACACACACACACACACACACGACGATAAAATAAATAAAGAACACCACTACCCAAACCCATACATGGAAATACTTTTTGTAGGGGGGAAAATGGACAGAATTGGATCAAACTCAAATGTAACGTATATTAATAAATCAGCTAGTGGTAATAAAACCAATTTGGATCTAGTGGTTAAGGCACCAGACTAGACTCCAGGAGACAGTGAGTTCTAGTCCTGCCTTTGGCATGAAAACCGGCTGGGTGACTTTGAGCCAATCACCAAAGACAGAATTCCAGTGCCACTTTAAGCATGAAAGCCAGTTAGGTGATTTTGGGCCAATCACCAGGAGATGGGGAATTCTAGTCCCGCTTCAGGTCTGAAAGCTGGCTAGGTGACTGTGGGCCAATCATGAGGAGATGGGGAATTCTAATCCCGCCTAGATCTGAAAGCTGGTAATGTGACTTTGGGTCAGTCATTCTCTCTCAGCCCAATCGAGTTGTTGTTGTGGGGAAAATAGGAGGAGGAAGGAATATTAGATATTTTTGCTGCCTTACAGTATTTATAAAAAATAAAGTTGGCTCAATAAAGAATGGAATAATAACAGGAAGAGCTAAATATCAATGATTTCAATGGTTCCCTTCATGCTGGCTGTGGAATTCTGGGAGTTAAAGTCCATACATCTTAAATTTGTCAAGTTTGAAAAATACTATTTCAGGCTGATGCGAAACATGACACAGGGCATCCTTGAAGGATTTTCTCTGTCATCTTAGATTAACAGGGAGACAAAGTTACTGGCGAAAAAATCTGTATATTTTATGCTTTGTAACTGGAATCCGGCCACGATATTCATCTGAACAGTTAAACAGGAGGGATTAAATGACCAAACGAACATATAAAATAGCTATGAGATGGGATCTAATGCCCCCTTCTGGACAGAAAGAGTCCCCAAATATAAATTGATGACAAATGTTGAATAGCATTAAGATTATATTCCCATAACAGTATTTCATAATGCTGTTGTACAGCTAGATCTTATATAACACCCTGCAAGGAAATTACTTAAATTGTGCTAAAATCCTCTCCATCAATATTAGACCAACTACCTACTTATTCCAAATTTTGCAAACACTTCTAAGGAACTAAGAAAAGAGCTACTACCATTTATACATCTCAGGCATATGTCACATTCTAATGTATATTTGTTCAGAATCTGAACTGAATTGAATACTTTATTTCGCCAAATGTGATTAGACACACAAAAAAATTGTCTTTGGTACAGAAGCACTGAGAGCACATACAAAGCAACAGAGAGAATAATAATAATACCAATAAAAGGGGGGGAAAGATAAGAAAAAAGGATAAATAATAGTACTACAGCCACACTGTATGTGATAATATCTAATTGTTCTATTTAGCTAGGATGAGGACTAATCAAAAACAAGCCTATTCCAAAACTCACATACATCGGAAAAACCATGGCGTACTCATTCAGCTCACTCTGATTTCCTGGTATTTTCACTACCTCAGCTAAGGAGGAAGCGACAAAGAACAGGAAAAGCTGCTAAAATAGGACATGTGAACAATTTAGGCACCTTAAGGCTGAAGCCGCCCCAATTATTACAGCTGTGAGTAGGTCTTAGCTTGAAGTTAAAAACCAATTAGGGTTTAGCCTCATGCCTAAACACTGCATTGATTTCTTTTAATTCCTACTACAAAGGTGCTATTCCTCTAATACCCTCTATAAACCATTAACAGACATACTAAGAGCTCCCTACAAAGTTGGGAGCTGTAAACACATGTTCATCAAACACACTTGCAAGCAGAAATTAAGCAGTTTTAATGCCATGGAGTAATTCTATCTTAAATTAACTCAGCAAGGACTTCCCGTAAGACATAACCGCTTGACAAAATTGGAGCAACCCACAGAATCTGCCTGCCTGTAGTTCATTTATCTCAAGTAGTCACATGGATGAGAAGAAGACTGAAGACAATTCTGAAGACCAGAAGATGAGGTCTCCTTGGTAGGTCACAGGACTCATTTGCCCCAGTGAACCAGCCCTTAATTTGGAGATATGCACGGGACAAAATGAATCCTGCACCGACACTACAAGTTTGGTCCCTTTTGTGCATGAATATTGCTTGACACCATACAGACATGAAAAGGCCATAGCTTGCAATGCAAAGTTCACTTCTTAATCTTGATAAAAGACCTCTGGACATTGCTACCTCTCTAAAAACAGAATCGTTAATTTCAAATTAAAGTGTGCTTTAGTTAATTGAATGTATTTTGTTACTGTTTATCAATGCTACTTTTCAGCTCAGTGTACAATTTAAGCAACCTTATGTTTAATAACATTAACATTTTAGAAACCATTATTAATATTGATATGAGCGTTTTCTTGTTTTTAAAGGCATTCATTCACATTCATACATTCATTCATTCATTCATTCATTTAAATCTGCACATCTCTCATCTGACCTAAGTGACTGTAGGGCCCTTGAAACTATGAATTAGGTTGTTTTCTTGCCAATTTTTCATTACCTATGTGTTCTCAGGTAACATCATCAACGCTAGAAGAGAGACGGGTTTGCTCTCTGTTTATATACAAGTGGCTTCTCTGCCAATATGATTGATTGTTCCTTGATTAGGCTGTTGTTTACTGGTTCAAGCAGTAAACAAAGCCCAATCAAAGAACTACCAACTCTGCAAACAATGAAATAGTAAACCCTTCTCCCTTCTAGCACTGATGATGTTACCTAATTTGGTAATGAAACATCTGCAAGAAAATAACCAAGCTCAGAGACCACTAAGGATCCCACAGTTTAACTCTCAGATGCAATGTTCTCTTCCTTGGTCACTTAAGTAATTCTAAGTGACTTATATTTAAATCATCATAGTATTAATAATCTCTAGTTAATACTGTATAAATACCACTATATCTAAATAATATAATGTATCACATTTCTTTTAATACAATAAAACAATACATTAAAAAATGGAGAAGACCAAATGACCCAATTTAAAGGCAACTTTAATCAAATTTCCCATTATTTTGCTGAAAAGAAACTCACATATTTTATAGCCCAGCTTTTCTGCATGGATCCTTTTGGCCATGAACTGTCCTTCGATCAAGGCCCGTATTTCCACTTCCTTTGGGAAGGCTGGTGTCTGAAAAGAAAAGAAACATATAAGCCTCCAATGCAATCTGTTTTGGACAGGCAGCTGGAATGCTAGCTTGTACAGGTAGTCTTCAACTTACAACCATTTGTTTAGCGATCATTTGAAGTTATAACACTGAAAAATGTGATTTACAATCAATCCCCACACTTACAACTGCTGTAAAACCCCCACGGACACATGATCAAAGGTGTTTGGTAACAGGCATATATTCAGAACAGTTTTCAGCATCCTGGAATCATGTGATAGCCATGCAACCTTCCCAGCTGGCCTCCCATGAGCAAAGTTAGTGGGGAAAACTGGATTTGCTTAATGGCCGCATGATTCACTTAACAACCAAGGCAATAAAGTTTCTAAAATCGGGTGTGACTCATTAACAACCACTTCTGTTTAGCAACAGAAATTCTGGCCTCAATTGTGGTTTTAAGTCGAGGACTATCTGTATGGTGCCTCTGTGGACTTCTCAGCAACTGGATAGTTGCTATTTGCAACAGTTGTTCAGTCACACACATGCAAACCTCCCAGAAGATTACAACAGCCCCGAAGACTGCTTGTAAATCATCTGCTAATTTGTGAAATAATTGGTGTATTCTGGGAGTTCAAAATCTAAAATATCTTAAGGGCATCTCATGATGGAAAGCTGAGCCATTCATTTTGGAGGCCTCAAAAAATAAAGGAACAGTCTTGGATTGCACTTCAGGAAAGGCAAAATTAGCACCTGGCAATTTTAGAAGTCAATTCAAACTTCATGGTATAGGAAATCTGGAGTAACCCATAAATGGAGATATAAGGGCTCTTACCTCGACATTGTGGGCATCGAACCTGTGAATTCCCACAGCTCCTGGTGTAATTTCCCTCACATCAAAATAAAAACCTAAATTAAATATTAGAATAAGTAAACTTAGACTTATTCAGTAATAAGTCTTCAAAGAATTACAGTTAAATAAATGTCAATCTCCCCCAAGATTTTTTTTTTTTTTTGCGTTTTGTTGAACAAGGTGGTCCTTATATTAAATGAAGTGACTGCTAACTGAAATCACAACTATGTACACTTTAGTTTTCCTTTGCTTTACACACCTGCAAAGGTCATAAATGCAAGAATTGATCTCTAAGTTACTTTTTCACCATGGAGTTCTTGGTCCCCTCTGTGCTTGGTTTTTTTGCTTTACAGACACTTCATTACCTGACTAAGCAACATCATCAGTGCCAGAGAGTGTGGGTCCCCCCCGTCCCCCCGTTTATTATATACAGCAGCTTGTCTTGCCAGGGTGATGGGATAGTTTTCTCCTTGGTAGTTTCTGGATTAGGATATTGTTTTCTGTTTGATTATTTATCTGGTATTAATCCTTGCTTATTTGGGTGTTGACTGCTGGAGAGGATCTGTTCTGGTCTTTTTGTTTTCTTCTTAGCTTTTTGTTGCCTCTTTTGAATGTACGGATATGGTTTATTTCAACCAGACAAAACCAGACAGACAGCAAGCTGGCTGGGGAATTGTAGAAGTCTGTGCGCCTCAAAGATGCCAAGATTGAGAAACACTGGGTGAGTTAGTTCCAGCCAAGCCATCTGAGGAGGCAGGCAGTAGAACCTCCTCTCCTCCAATTGCTTCTTTCCTGGAACAAACCCCACCTAACTATAGAGGATTGAGGGGGGGGAGATTATAAATCTTCCAAGATACCTACCCACCTTTCCACCGTTTCCAGCAGCTGTTGATTCGAGAGCTTTTGAGAATTCTTCCCACGAGCCCAACACAAACTCATCTCGGATTTTCTCTCGCATCAAGGAGCCATTCTTGTAGCTAAAACAAATAACAATACACGATTTCTTTGATTTCTCCAAGAGGTTCAGTCAGACTTCTGAAGCAACATCATTTTATTATTTGGCACTAGAAAATCAGAAAGTATCTGCAGGGCTGCCAAGTAGTAGTGTGGATCTGAAGGAAAAAGCCTATTTTCACAAATAGATAGATAGATAGATAGATAGATAGATAGATAGATATATAGATATATAGATAGATAGATAGATAGATAGATAGATAGATAGATAGATAGATAGATAGATAGATATAGATATAGATATAGATATAGATATAGATATAGATATAGATACTAAGGCCAGAAGATTCCTGATGCCTGATTTCACCATCATTTAACTCAAGTCTGTACTAGATCAGGTGTGTCAAACTCGCGGCGTCACATTGTCATCACGTGACGTATTGTGACTTTTTCCCCCTTTGCTAAACTGGGGATGAGCATGGCCAGCGCATCACGCATCCGTCCCACAGGCCGCGAGTTAGACACCCTTGGACCAGATCCTTCAATTAATGGGTTTCAATTAATGGGATCCTATTGCTGGTGCATCCCAGGTTCCAGCTCCTATAATCCCCCAGGTAATATGGCAGATGGTAAACTATGGAAGTTTAACATCTCTGCAATTGGAGAAGACTGGACATAAGCAAATATTCTCCACTATAACCCAATTTACTAAGTCTCTAGTGGAAAGATAATGTGTGCAACATTATTTCCACACGCCCAATATTTTTGCAAGTTAAAGGGTTCAGGTATCTCTCACTGCATTAGTAACAGTGGTAGTTAAGGTATCCAAAGCAAGAAAACATGTAATTACCGGTAAACTTCTTCAAAGAAAGACGTTTCACTAATGTTTACAAATTAAGCGAAAATAATTAATAAGCAAACTGAATAAATGGATAATTCATTGCAATTTCGCCTGGGAAGTTATTGGTTTTTCTCTAACACAGGGGGTCTTCAAATTACAACCACTCATATAGCAATCATTAAGTTACAACAGCACTTAAGAAAGTGACTTGCAACAATTCTTCACACGTAAGGCCATCACAATATCTCCACAGTTACATGATCAAAATTCACGGCCACATGAATTTGAATCATCATGTGACTGTGGGAATGTTGGTAAATCCCAGCGTTGTCTGATCAACATTTTCAACCTTCCCAGCTGGCTCTTGAAAAGCAAAATTAATGGGGAAAGCCAGCTTCGCTTCACCACCACATTATTTACTTAAGAACTGCAGTGATTTGCTTAAAGAAGATTGTAAAATTGGGCATGACTCACTTAGCAATGGAAATTCAGGTCCCAATTGTGGTCATAAGTTAAGCACCATTTATATACACCTGAGAATGCAAAGATCTGTAATAATGGAATGTTCCATGCTATTATCTTCATTTTTGAGTAGTAAAGTATTTAGAATAAATAAGTGTGTTTCCCTGCCTTTCTTGACATGGGTTCTTGCAGATTTAGATGTCTAGACTGATCTAGAAATTGCAATCCCTATTAAATCTGGAAACCTTAATTTTAGACATTAATGGCATGGTTTTGAAATTACGGGAAATCAGTCTGGAATAGCTTAAAGCAGTCACTTTTTCCCCCCAAGGTTGAGAAGATACCCAGGGAAAGAGAGAAGTTGTTTTAATGTGTTTCAGACAAGTGATGCCGAAACATCTTGTAAGAGAGCCAGTTTGATTTAGTAATTAAGACACCAAGATAGAAACCAGGAGACTGTGAGTTCTAATCCCGCCTCGACATGAAAGCCACCTGGGTGACTTTGGGCCAAACATCAGGAGATGATAAGTTAATTGTCCCACTTTAGGCATGGAAGCTGGCTGGGTGATTTGGGGGCAATCACCAGGAGACTGTGAGTTCTAGTCCCTTCTTAGCCATGAAAGCCAAAAGGGTAACTTTGGGCCAATCATCAGGGGACAATGAATTCTAATCCCACCCTAAGCATGAAAGCCAGCTCGGTGATTTTGGGCCTGTCCCTCTCCCTCAACCAAACCCGTGTCACAGAGTTAAGTGAACAAAATAGGAGAATGATGATTTATTTATTTATTTATTTATTTTATTTTATTTTATTTTATTTCTATGCCGCCCTTCTCTGGAGACTCAGGGTGGCTTACAATGCGTTAAGCAATAGCCTTCATACTTTTGTATATTTTATATAAAGTCAGTTTATTGCCCCCACAAACTGGGTCCTCAATTTACCCACCTGAGAAAGGATGGAAGGCTGAGTCGACCTTGAGCCTGGTGAGAACTGAACTCGCAGTAATTGCAGGCAGCTGGATGTTAAATGCTGCCTTAGGAGGCATTAGCCTCCTACGCCACTCAGGCTCCTTATTATTAATACAATAAGGCAGGATTTAAAAAATCTAAATAAATAAAAATAAAGCTTTAAAGTACATTTTGAAAATAAAATCTGAAACATTAAAGAACTAGAAAAAAATGTCATAAATTTTTATTCTTATGAAGCTAATCTGATACATCGTATAGTAGAAGGCACGCACCAAAGTAGGGCCATAAATGCTTGTGAATCAACTGGATTACAGAAAACGTGGCCCTCCAAAGCAGGGTTTGGCTCTTTAATCCAGAGAAACAGGGTATCACTAGTGCCGAGGCTAATCTGGGGAAGAAAATAATCAAGGTATTAGCAGAAAAGCATAAAAAGCAATACAGGAATTAAATCAAACCCATTTGTTTGCCCTGCTAATTATCTTTAAATTACACATTGCAGCAATTGAATTCTGGAGAAATTGCCTTTGCTTGCCAGCTTTATATGAAATACAGAGCAGGGAAAAAAATTATAATGGAATCAAAGGATTTATTGTGGAAAATTCACAGCTACATAATCCTCAATGACCAAGAGCAACGTCAGCTGGTAACTAAAAGTGGCACTCCGATCACACATCAACAAGCAAGCTTTCTCATCTATTATACAGGTAGTCCTCGACTTACTTACTTATTTACTTACTTACTTACTTACTTACTTACTTACTTACTTACTTACTTACTTATTTATTTATTTATTTATTTATTTATTTATTTATTTATTTATTTATTTAGATTTTTATACCGCCCTTCTCCCACTGGACTCAGGGCGATGAACAGCCAAGAATAAAAACATCACATACAAAATTTAAAATTTTTAAAAAGAATTAAACAAATTTTGGCCCAATAAATTTAAAACACCCCAACTAAAATCAATTAACAATTAAAAATATCTAATGGGGGGGGGGTTAAGCCAGCCCGGCTTGATGAAATAAGAAAGTTTTAAGGGCACGGCAAAAAGCACGGAGATCTTGGATTCAACATATCTCCGAGGGCAGGTCGTTCCAAAGGACAGGTGCTGCCACAGAGAAGGCCCTCCCCCTGGGGATCGCCAGCCGACATTGTCTGGCCGACAGCAGCCTGAGGAGTCCCTCTCTGTGGGAGTGTAGTGGCCGGTGGGAGGTTATCGGTGGGAGAAGGCGGTCCCGTAAGACTTACAACAATTCTTTTAGGGACTGTTTGAAGTTACAACGGCACTGAAAAAAAGAGACTTATGGGCATTTTTCACACCTAACAACCGTTGCAGCATCCCCAATTTTCATGTGATGAAAATTCAGATGTTTGGCAACTGACTCATATTTATGACGGTTGCAGTGTCCTGGGGTCACGTGATCCCCTTTTGAAATCTTCTGACAAGCAAAGTCAATGGGGAAGGCAGATTCATTTAACAACCATGTTACTAACTTAACTGCAGTAATTCACTTAACAACTGTGGCAAGAAAGATAGTAAAATGGGGCAAAACTCATTTAACAACTGTCTCGAAAAATGGTCATCAATCACTTTTTTTCAGTGCCATTGTAACGTCAAATAGTCACTAAACAAACCATAGTAAGAGTCTTGGTAGTACAGTGGTCTAAAGCACCCTGTTATTACGACCAGCTGCCTGCAATTACTGCAGGTTCGAATCTCTCCAAGGCTCAAGGTTGACTCAGCCTTCCATCCTTTCTAAGGTAGGTAAATTGAGGACCCAGTTTGTGGGGGCAATAAGCTGACTTTGTATAAAGATACAAAACGATGAAGGCTATTGCTGAGCACATTGTAAGCTGCCCTGAGTCTCCGGAGAAGGGCGGCATATAAATCAAATTTTAAAAAAAAAGAAAAAAAATTGTAAGTCAAGGATATCTATAAATGAACAATGATAATGAATTAGTGGGCAGCACATGACAAAGCAATGCCCACTCCTATGCTGAGATACATCATGAAATTTAGCTTCTCTAGATGCCACTTATCAGCAAGGAAAGGTTTTAGGGTCAGGCCCACATCTATTCCACCAAAATCGATGGGAACTGAACAGTGGTGGGATTCAAATAATTTAATAACCGATTCTCTGCCCTAATGACTGGCTGGGTGGACGTGGCCAGGGGGTGTGACAGTCAACACTCGGCCTCCTGCACCCACCTGGGAGCAAAAATGGGCTGGGGGGGCACTGCAGCCCCCCCCCCCCGCACCCCATTTTGGGCCTCCCTGCCCTTACCTGGGAGCCAAAATGGGGAGCGTGGGGACTCCTGGAAGGGGCGGGGTAGGGAGGTGCGGGGCCGGCCAGCAATTTAACTACCGGTTCATCCGAATCAGCCCGGACCGGCTGAATCCCACCATTGGATCCGAATACCTAACTCAGGGGTGCTCTCTAAGCCACATGATAGCATGGGTCTCAAGATTCCTAATCCAATTAACAATATGAATGTTAGTTAATGAAGATGGTGACACCTACTGCTATGTCTCCTTCAGAAAGTCTCATCCCAGCCAAAGATGCTGAAAATGCAAACAAAGAAGTTCAGTTAAAGAATAGACTATAGAAAGCATACAAACAAGAAAATACCCACTCTGAACCCTCACGGAGACCAGTAAGACTGAAATAATCAATTATCATCTCAAGTTCTAGTGATTCCAGTAGGACCAAAGTACAGGTAGTCCTCAACTTACAATCATTTGTTTGTAAGTTGATTACAACTTACTCTTTTAACTTCAAATATTTGAAGGTGTAACTTCAGCAGTACTGAAAAAATTAACTTATGACTGGCTCTTCCACTTACAACCATTGCAGCATTGATCAGAGTCACGTAATCGAACTTCAGACACTTGGCCCAAAGGTGTTTTTCAGTTGGACTTTCTAGTTTTTGTTTGAACGTCAGCCTTGGAACGTGACATTGAAGACATTTCATTTCTCATCCAAGAAGCTTCTTCAGCTTTGAAGCTCTTCTTTTTGGATGAAAAGCAAAATGTCTTCAAAGAAAAACAAGATAAGTCCAGTTGCCTCTTGAAAAAGCACCTTTGGGACAACCATGACTTGGATGACTGAGTATGTCTATAGACATTCAGACACTTGGTAATCAGGATATATTTACAATTGCTGCAGTGTCTGAGGGTCATGTGATCACTATTTGCAACCTTCCTAGATGGCTTCCAACAAGCAAAGCCAAAAGGAAAGCTAGATTCACTTAACAACCATAGATTCACTTAACAACTGTAGTGATTGATTTAAGAACCATGGCAAAAAAAAGGTCATAAAATCAGATGCGACTCACTGAACAACTGTCTTGCTTAGCAATGGAAATTCTGGTGCCAGTTTTGTTGTAAGTTGAGAACTACTTGTAGATCTTTCTTCTTTGAATTGACTGCATTGCATTAAATTTTGAAAATACCAAGGTTTCTCCAGAAAATGTCTGCTTTAACACATGGTTGAAGAAATTATTCATAGAGAATGTTTTTTCCTACGGAATAATTATACAGACATTTCACCTGCCTTCTAAGATAAAACTGAGCAAAAAATAAAGTTCCTTGCTTCAGAATTTTAAACCTCCTTACCTGGATTGTCTCCAGTAAAGGCTACTATTTTGCAGGCAGGATTAAATCCAAAGCGTTCAGTGTAATAGGGTGAAATTAAACCCTAAAGAATGAAATTTAACCATTATTTTTAAAAACAATTCTATAGCTATTTGGTTTCAGAACAACACATTTTGAACAGAAAAACCAAGATTCCCCTTCAAAAAATGTTGGGACCTTCCCTTCCAGGGTAACAGTTCCCAAAATCCCTTGGAAGAATATCAAAATGACTCTGGCAGTTTGAATTTGCAAAAGATTAAATATGTTTTTATTTCCTTATTACAGGAAACCAGAGAGTTGATTTTTTTAAAAAAAAAAATCTGGTTTGTTTTTCAGCAAACAATTAACAATCTTGGAAACATCCATTTCCAAAACAATACTCAACCATCCTAATGTTGAAACAGAGGCTCTTTCATCTAGTCATTATAAAACATTGTTCTCATTAAGCAAAGGTGGATGGATGGATTGATGGATAAATAAGATGGATGAGTGGATAGATGGGATGGATAGATGGGATGGATGGGTGGATGGAGAGATAAGATGGGATGGGATGGGATAGTCAATAGGTAGGTAGGTGGATGGATGGATGGATGGATGGATGGATGGATGGATGGATGGATGGATCAGTGGGTCAATGGGTAGGTGGGTGGGTGAGTGGATAGGTGGGATGGGATGGGATGGGTCAGTGAGTTAGTCGGTCAATGGATGGGTGAATGCATCAGATGGGATGGAATGGGAGGGAGGGAGAGGGGGATGGATCAGTCAGTTGGTGGGTATGTATGTGGTGGGTGGGTGGATGGATGGGTGAGTGAGTGGATAGATGGGATGGGATTGATGCATTGATACATGGATAGATGAATGGACAGAAAGGATTCTTAGCAAGGATCCATCAACACTACAAATAAGAAATGCCTGAAAATGCCGCTATTTCTTCCAAAGGTACCTGTGAATCAGATGAACAGATGAACAGAGCCTGAACAAGCTATCTTCAGGAGAAGTAATGACAATCTATGTCAGTTTAAATCTATACTAAGGGACAGTTTGATCTACTGGTTAAGGCAAAGAAAGAAAGTGGAATACTATGGGTTTTGCCTTAGGCATAAAGCCAACTGGGCGACCTTAGGCCAGTCATTCTCTCATAGCCCTAGGAAAAAAGACAATGGCAAATCACTTCTGAAACCTTGTCAAAAACCCACAGGGACTCATCCAGGCAGTCACCAGGAGTGAACACTGATTCATAGGAACAATAACAATAAATCAGTAGCATAGAATTTCCCATTGACACTCCAAATAAATACAGGATCTACAGATTTTAATTCTGATTTCTCCCACTGTTACACTCGCCTTATTTGTTCCACAGTTAATCATACCAGTATTTTGCTGGAGGGCACAGGTTGGTCCAGTTTTTTTCCCAATTGGGGTGCACAAGCATCAAGGCAGACTTGATTCCAAACTTTTTCCCGAATCTGCAATAAATTCATGCCAGATCCTGCAAGAGGAAAACAGAATTATTTTCCAACAGATCCCTTCAAAAGGTAATCTGTAGATTGCATATATGCGGAGAGGAGTGTAAAGAGAGAAAGGAAGATGAAAAACATATAATCCTAAAATTTAAATTCTGTACATTTGCCATAACACAAGATTGTTCCTCATCATCTGTTTAATGTTATTATTGGTGTATCATTTATTATTATCAGACACATTCTGGGCATATGAAGATTGCAGAGTAAGACAGACGTGAGAACAAAAAAACTATCAGGTAAAGGAAACAAAAAGAAACAAAAAAAAAACAGGCTAACAGTCTTTCCAAAAAAAGCATATTGAGCAAGAAAACTGTTATAAAAATCATTGCAAACAAACAACATATTTCGCTTTGAAGTGGCAACATTAAATTGCCAAAGAAACCAACTGAAATTACAGGTAGTCCCTGACTTACAACCACAACTGAGCCTAAGATTTCTGTTGTTAAGCAAGACAATTGTTAAGTGAGTTTTGACCCATTTTACAATCTTTCTTGTCACAGTTGTTAAGTAAATCACTGCAGTTGTTAAGTTAATCACAAGATTATCAAGTGACTCTGGCTTCCCCCATTGACTTTGTTTGTCAAAAGGGGATCACGTGACCCTGGGACACTGGAACCGTCATAAATATGAGTCAGTTGCCAAGCGTCTGAATTTTGATCATGTGGCCATGGAGATGTGGTGATGGTCAAAAGTGTGAAAAATGGTCATGTTACAATTTTTAGTGCCATTGTAACTTTGGACAGTCACTAAACAAACTGTTGTAAGCCAAGGACTACCTGTACAAGTTTTTCTTATGTAGATATTTCAAAAGTAGGAATATTTCTACCTAGAAGCCTTGTCTTGCAGAATATAGAATTTGGGAGCAGAACATCCATGTCTTAGCAATGCAGTTGTTAGATGAACTATCATGGGACAATGTCTGATCTTACAATCTTTTTTATCCTGGTTGTTAATAGAATCATGTGGTTGTTAAGTAAATCCAGCTTTCCCTATTGACTTTCCTTGTAGGGAGCTAGCTAGGAAAGTCACAAACCATGATCACATGACTGCAGGATACTGCAATCGTAGCCAGCACATTGTGATTGCTAAGTGCCTGAATTGCAAAGTATGTGACTACAGGGATATTGCCACAGTCAAAAATGTGAATACCATGATCACATTTGATCCAGGGGTGAAATGGTACCGGTTAGGGCCGGTTCGACTGAACCGGTAGTAAAAAAATGCTACTGGTTCGCTGAACCAGGAATAAAAAAATGTAAAAAAGAAAAAAAGTTCCGACGATCAGCTGAGTGACGCACAATCGTCAGAACTTTTGACTCTCATTCTTTGATCTTGCCTGCTTCCTTCCTTTACCTGAGGTCACCTATTTGAAATATCCAACGTGAAATCTTCCTAGCAACTAAGCAATTTTTTCTGTTCTACATTTGGGATTTCTCTATGTCTATTGCCACTTTTAATTTTGCGATCCAAGCTGCGAAGGACTGGAGATCAAGAAAGGCTTAGGATATAGTTGGAGAAAATGCTGGCAGATATCCTTCTAATGAAATTTTAACTGCCCTTAGCTGTGCTAGAGTTTTTGTGAAGTCAGTGAGAAGCAGCCTGTCCTGGACTCTAATCCAAAGAGGTCCAAGAACACAAACACACATGGACAGGCATTTGAGAAGATGTTCAGATTTGAGAAGAGTCTCAAAACTCTCCAGCAGAAGGACGCTGATTGTCTCGTCACCAGAAGTGGGTTTCAGCTGGCTCCAACCAGTTCTGGAGAACCGGTAGCAGAAATTTTGAGTAGTTCGGAGAACTGGTAGTAAAAATTCTGACTGGCCCTGCCCCCATCTATTCTCTGCATCCCAAGTCCCAGATGATCAGGAGGAAATGTGGATTTTGCAGTAACCTTCTCCTTGATTGGAGAGGGAATGAAGATTTTACAGTATCCTCCCCCTGCCATGCCCACTAAGCCATGGCCACCAAGCCACGCCACATCCACCAAGCCACGCCCACAGAACCAGTAGTAAAAAAAATTTGAAACCCACCACTGCTCGTCATGACTATCAAAAGTCTCAGTAATATGAAATTGAGGTTTAGTTCAGTCGTCTCCACCCATAAGCCTTCCAGATCTGCATTCATTCCAGATTCTGCAATCAACCGTTACAGTCCCAGTGAATCTGAAGAGTTGCCACTGGACTGGAGGATGGAACTTGGAAAAAGGAAGATCACCAGCAGCCTTGGAAGTTTTCTTTGTACAGGAGGGGGTGGGGATACACTGTCTTGTTTTCCTGCTCGCTCGTTCTTGTGCCTAGTCTCTAGCAGTGAAGCCAAGTATTTGTTTTTCCATGCCCTTCTCTTTTTCTCCTGCTTGCTCAGCTTCAGATAAACTTCCAGAGAGAGAGAGAGAGAGAGAGAGAGAGAGAGAGAGAGGGAGAGAGAGAGAGAGAGGAGGGAGGGAGGAAAGAGAGATGGAAGAGAGAAATGGAAGGAGAAATGGGGGGAGGAGAGAGAGATGGAAGGAGAGAGAAAGAGAGAAAGAAGACAGAGACAGAGAGGAGAAAGAGAGAGATGGAAAGAGAGATAGGGAGAGGGATGAAGGCAGAGAGAGGGAGAGGGAGAGGTAAAGAGAAATGGGCAAATTTTTCCTGGTTCCTAGTTGTCCGATGTCCAAAGAGCAGAAAGGAGAAAAGATAGTCGAACTGCAATTCCCAGAGGCTTATTTCTACCCTCTTCTCCATCCCCACTGAATAAAGAAGCCTTAAATCTGCTCTTCCCTGGAATACTGCCAGATCCCCAGCTCCTACTGGAAGAAAGAGACACTGAAGTGTCATGCCAACTGGCATGAGGCTGAGGTGGTTCTCCTGCCACAGACCAGAAAGCAATTAGCAGGCAGGCAAATTGCCACGGGCACTTGCTCAGTCCAAAACCGAGGATTATGAACACTTTCCAAGCCAGGTGGGAGCGATTTGACAGATCCTATCTTCTTCTCTATCTGCAGGGTACAGCATTTCATCATTTAAATGATGCCTCTTTTAAAATGCAGCCCCTAATAACCAGCTGAAACATACCCAACCGAAAATCGAGTTTTAAGGCTTTCATTTGCCTGGGTAACGCAAAAGGAAACAGGAAGGAAAGAAGAGTAATTCTGGAGACAGGGATAGAAGTTCTTTGCAAGTCACCTGAAAGAATCTGAATGATTGTAGGGAGAAGGACAAAAAAACAACAACAACCCAGCACTATTAACAATTGTAGGATGAGGCCAAACAAGAGACTAGGGGACCGGAGGCTGAAACATATGAAGAACAGTTGCAGGAAAAAGATATGTCTAGTTTAATGAAAAGAAGGATTAGGGGAGACATGATAGCAGCCTTCCAATATCTCAGGGGCTGCCACAAACAAGAGGGAGTCAAGCTGTTCTCCAAAGCACCAGAGGGCAGGAAAAGAAGCAATGGGTGGAAACTAATCAATCCAGAAATAAGAATAATAATTAATCAGAGGAATGGGTTGCCTTCGGAAACTTTGGAGGATTGGCCTAAAAGACCTCCAAGGTCCCTTCCAGATCTGTTGTTCTGTTACTCTGTTATTGTATAGAAAGCAGAAAAGAAATGAGAACTGATCTAAAGGGAATTGATCCAGAGGTGGTATTCAGCCAGTAGCGGAAATCGTGGGTAGGCCCGTTTACCCACCCCGGCTCTATGCCATCCTATTTAGGCACGTTTTTTAGGCCAGGTGCAACAGTGGTGGGTTCCTCCCGGTTCGGCCAAGCCGGTAGCGGTGACAATATGACGTCACCGAACTAGTTCTCTTTGTTCAGGAGCTGGGCCCCCCTGCCCCCCCCCCGCATTATTCTTACCTTTTATTTGGCCTCACCCCCAATGTATTCGCTGCCTCCCTAATCCCAGCTGATTGGCTAGAAGGAAAAAAACTGTTTAAACTCTTGCTGCGGGGCTTGAAAGGGCCGCCCTACAGCTGATCAGTGTTAAAAGGCAGTGCGGTGGTAGATCACTGCGCTCGAAAAACAAATGGGTAGACCGGTGCCTCCAAAAACAAATGGGTAGACCGGAACGCTCCAAGAACAAATGGGTAGACCGGTACAGCTCTGCAAGCAGTTAAAAGCCTGGTAGACCAGTACCTCTGCTAAATCCTAAAGCATTGTAACATGACCATCAAGCCACTCCCACAAAATAAGCCACGCCCACAGAACCAGTAGTAGAAAAAGGTTAGAACCCATCGCTGAGGTGTATGTGTGAAAGGCAGGCACGCACCCGCACGAAGCAAGCGTGTCCGCACGCGGCAAACCAATAGTAACATAATCTGAAACCTACCGCTGAATTGATCTCTTATGTTTAACACAAGCCTCCCATGACAAGCAAACAGTGTCTTATGAACTACCTTCTTTCTACAAGGACTGGACTTAACTTTTCAAAAGAGGCCCACAGCCACAAGACATTAGCATGTCCTCCTTTCGCATTACAGATAGTCCTCAACTTACAACTAGTTCAAACTTAATTACAGGGCTGAAAAAAGTTACTTGTGATCGGTCCTTTCATTTATAGCCATTGCAGCACCCCATAGTCACCTCATCAAAATTCAGGCACTTGGCAATCTGCATGAGTTTGCCACAGTTGCAGCATCCTGGGGTAAATGATAAGATCCACAATTTTTTTTTTATTTATATGCCGCCCTTCTCCGGAGACTCAGGGCGGCTTACAATGCGTTAAGCAATAGCCTTCATCCTTTTTGTATATTTATACAAAGTCAGCTTATTGCCCCCACAAACTGGGTCCTCAATTTACCTACCTTAGAAAGGATGGAAGGCTGAGTCAACCTTGAGCCTGGCGAGATTCGAACCTGCAGTAATTGCAGACAGCTGGTCTTAATAACAGGGTGCTTTAGACACTGTACTACCAAGGCTCTTTTCAATTTGTGGTGCTCCCAGCTAGCTTCCAACAAGCGAAGGCAATGGGGGAAAGGTGGAGCT